CAGCCATTATATATATATATATATATATTTTATTTTTTTTTAAAGGTAACTGTTATGAATGATTGAGGCAATTTCTCACAAAAGTGTTGACATGCTTTGTAAAAGCCCAGCAGGAAGCAAATCATAACATTAAAAAAGTTTAATTTAGTAATCCATGTCCGTTAGCTCTTTTATCAATACATTTTGGGGGGGGGGTGCGGGAGCCGCATTTTCAGACAAGAGTAAAGTTGTTTGTTTTACATGGAGTGGGGCGGCAAAAATCTTGATCTTCACCGGGGGTGGGGGGGCGGCACCACCCTAGCTACATGACTACGCCATTCAAAGCGAAAGGGACTGGAGTAAAAAGGTCCCCTTAAAAGATATTGAGCTATGGATCGCGGGAAATAGGTTGATATTAAGTCTTTGGTGTAGAGATTATTTGTGGAGCTACTTCTTTGTAATTTGTATTGATGACGGTTCTTTTTTGGTGGGAAATGCTCAAATTTGAACAAGACGAAAGTTTAAAGCCAAATCGGGAAAACCCGAACGTCAATTGGAAATGCGGGAATAAATAATGTGCACCCAGGCAGAACCAACGCTGCCACTGCCAGAGAAGGCATTGCTGCCGTTGCACAGTGCAGATGGTGAATTCCCAGAAAAGCGTATATTTAAAAAAATATATTCATCCTGAAAATAGATTCACTCTGTGAACCAATGTACTTACTACCCTTTCATTTTTCCGTATGGAGATTCAGGGTGGACCACAGATATAAAGGAAGTTGTTGGTCAAAGACGTATCTCCCAGCTGCAATGGTGCTCATACCAATTTGCCATTCTTGATGGAAGCTTTAACCAGTTTCTTATGCAGTAAAGCTGACTCACCAATTCATTGTTGATGTCTATTGCTGACTCATCAATTCATTGTTGATGTCTATTGCTGACTCACCAATTCATTGTTGATGTCTATTGCTAACTCATCAATTCATTGTTGATGTCTATTGCAAGACCGAGGCAAACAGTAAAACATTGAATATTGTGATGACCTTGATGACCTTGACCGAGACCTTGACCGAGTTCGAAACAACCATCACTTGCACGTTACCATATTGCCTGGCAAAACTGTCCTCAATTACCAGATGCCACATCCATGGTCAGGCAATATGGCAAACATTACTTATTTGTAACATTCACGTATTTTCACTACGTTTGTTCCGCCACTGAGTGCAGTGATCAAGTAGCTCAACATGCTATATCACATATTCGCAGATGATACCCAACTTTAGCAGTCCGTGATCCCCTCTCAGTTCCCTCAGCTTCTCAGTATGACAGAGAAGACAGTGGAGTCAGTTAAGCACTGGATCACCATAAACAAGCTCAAATTGAATGATGATAAGACTGAGCTGATTCCAAGTTTTTATATTATTGCGTTTGTATTTAAATGTGGTAAAATTTTGATTGTTTTTATTTCTCTTTATAATATGGTTGACTTTGTACCGTGCTCCGAGCTTTTGGGGATGAAACGTTATTTTCAAAAAAAAACATCATTATTATTATTATTCCTAAATTGAACTTTCTTCCCGATAATCAACCTTGCAGACCTGCCTGATTTAGTTGCCAGAGTGTTTGAGTTGAACCTGAAATTGTTACTTGAAGAATCAACCAAACACGAAAGGTTCAGAAGTGTTCGGACAATGTTTCACAGGACCCCGTTCCAAAACGTGGTCACCACATTGACACAAATGGCTATTCATGGCCCCGGAAGACAATGCCTGGGAATATGAACGTATTGACCAATTTGTCTGTGCAGAACTCTATGATGAAGATGCGCACTCGAGGCTACATGCAAACCTCAAATTCTGTTTGATCCTCGGCCCATGCTGTCCATTAAATCCCGATAGGTCTGTGCACCAAGAAGAGAGTACAAAATGAACCACCAAACGGATAATGTAGTAAGATAATTTTTATACCAGTAAAGGAAACTGAAGATGTACAGCAAAAAGCCACCATGTCCAAAGTTCTATCTTGGTTTTAAACTTAATTAGGAAGACCCCAATTCCCCAGCGTAGTAATATATTGAAATTCCTGAACGCAGTCAAAATGTAAACCACATCTTAGAGGGAAAGAAAACTATTAATGGCAGAATGTTTACCGCTAGTGACACGACTAGAGAAAAATTGAAACTTCGAATTCCCGTTCTCAATGTTAGAGGAGCAACACCTGTCAAGGACATAAGCAACACCTGTCAAGGACATAAGCAGCACCTGTCAAGGAAATAATCACGGTGGAAGGAAATCATATCCCCTATAAACTTTCCAAGAAGCATAAACTGCAAGGGGATTAACTGATGATGACTCAGCATGGGATACTGGTCTAACAGGAGCTGCTACCCATCACATGCAAGTACAAATTAGGCAGTTGTGTTTTGTGTCTACCGTCGGATGCATCAGCGTTATTCGACAGACGTAAGGAGAGTCTTATGGACGACTAAGAGACGTTATCCTGTTGAAGAATCATCATCTCACCATTTGACACTTAGAGAAATTGAATCTGTCCTTCGAACACATGGAAAGTCATTTGCAGATTTTTGTACTAGAACTTCCAGTTCCAAACAGCCATCCATTTTGGAAATTATTACGATCCCTGTAGCCGAAAGAAACATGTTCGAAAAAACAAAATCAAATGCTAAACCTGGGCAAAGAAGAGCTTTCGAAAAAAATCATGAAGAAATTTAAAAAAAAGTAACTTATCCAAAAGTCTATTCGTTATTGATAAACCTGGGGGAAGTGATAAAACCCTCCTTTAAAACACAATAAGGCATCATGTCGTCATGGGGTCATGTGATCATGTGGTCATGTGATCATGTGGTCATGTGATCATGTGGTCATGTGATCATGTGGTCATGTGGTCATGTGGTCATGTGGTCATGTGATCATATGATCATGTGATCGTGTGGTCATGTGATCATGTGGTCATGTGGTCATGTGGTCATGTGATCATGTGGTCATGTGATCATGTGGTCATGTGGTCATGTGATCATGTGGTCATGTGGTCATGTGATCATGTGGTCATGTGGTCATGTGGACATGTGGTCATGTGGTCATGTGGTCATGTGGACATGTGGTCATGTGGTCATGTGATCATGTGGTCATGTGGTCATGTGATCATGTGGTCATGTGGTCATGTGGTCATGTGCGCAGCAAAAGTGAATTTATAGGAATAGCAACAACTTTGTTTGAGGACTGCTGAACTTCCCCCAAAGTCGTTTCAAGCTGCTGCCTATTGCAGTCAGTGAGACATCAACTTGTCATGTTCGACATGGGACTTATACGGAAAATGAACTGAACAACAAGATAACTTCAAGACAGACCACAGATTTCCACCAAAAATGTGATCTACAAAGACGTTTTCGCATAAAAAAATTAAACTTCATCGCCAGCCATTGCTTTATGTGCTACTAAAAATGCTCGCGACCCGGGCTTAGAACGGGTACTTCAGCTAGTATTTATATATATACATACACACATATATATATATATATATATATATAATATATATATATATATATAAATGCTCGCGACCCGGGCTTAGAAAGGGTACTTTAGCTAGTATATATATATATATATACACACATATATATATATATATATATATATAATATATATATATATATATATATATATATATGATTGTTTTACTTACATTTGACTAAAGTGATCGACAGCCCAGTTTCATCATAATACCTTGCATGCACATTTTGTGAAAGTGTAGTGGATACAAGTTCAGGAAAGATGGACAACTCTTTATTTTCCCGGCTCAAGTGGACTTCGAGCGCCCTCATTTCATGAATCTTTTCTATGACTGGTTTTTCATATTTCATTACAGATCTGGCGTACTTAGTAAAGTGTGAGCCATAAGCGGCAGCTTGAACGTCGTGAAAGTCTTCTTGCTGTGACGAAGACCATTTAGGATTTGTATCTCTCTCCGTGAAAGTTGCCTCTTGTAAGCATTCAGTTTTTGAATGACCGTCTTGTTTCGTCGCTGACCGACGGGGCTTTAAAAGATAAGATTTTATAAGATTCTCTAATTGATCCAAATAAACGAAAACTATTTTATGACATCATACACATTAATTATCAGCACAGAAATAAATATTCATAAAAAAAGATACAGATTTTTAGAATAGAACAATTTTGCTCGCTAATTTATTATTTAAAATTCAAACGTTTCTATTGTGGTGGGTCTCAAATGTTGTCTTTAAAACCCTGGCAACAGTTCAGGGGGCATTGCATAATGAATAATAAATAAATGAAGCACTGCATTCAAGCTATGTGAAAGAAATAGTGGGACAAGGTATGTGGAAGCCTGAAGCGACAGGACATTAAGATAAGCACGTTTCGGCTAAGAGCCTTCCTCAGCAGACAGGACAAATGAAATTACGACAAGACGACTACATAGGTTGAGTGACTTAAAAGAAATTGAAGCATATACATGCAATCAAATTGTAAATAGATATGTATATTCTATCATTTTTTGTTGAAAATATATAAAATCAAAATGACTTACAAGCTTCCCAGTCTCCCATAATTCCCCTAGTTCTGTTAGGTTTTGTTGTTGCTCGTTGTATCGATCATGGAGCTTTGACAGTCTGTCGCTCATGACGTTGATGGTGTTGCCAAGTGTATGAAAGACTTCCTGATTTCTAGACATTTTTTGTTTATACATCAACACTTTGTCTCGTAAGTCTAGCAACGCCCCATCACTTTGTTTGCTACGTAAAAAAATTGAATTTTTTTCAGCGGTGGTCATAATTCTCTTGACATGATGCTCCATAATATTTTCCTTAGCATGATAATCACATACGACATGGGGCGCTGGCTCAAACTTAAAAGCTTCACAAACTGCTGAAGTTTGTAGTCTCTCTCGTAATTCAATATGCCACTGGAATAATAGTGAGTTTTCATTGATTAAATCTTTCACTTTATCTACAGGAACGTTGATGAACTGACTGCCAGTCTCAAGTCTTGGTGAAAATTCCAACGTTTCAGACAACTCTCTCGTGGCATCTGTTGTTTGATTGAATGCAGATACCTTCCAAGTGAAAGTCAAAGGCTGGGTGAATTCTATCTCAGAGAACTTATTAACACTGATGATAAGACCTAATTCTAACAATTCCATCTCAAGCTTCCGAACACATCCTTGCAGTTTGCATCCTTGCAGGTTTCTAAAAGTGTAGACCGGTGACGTCATCTCCCCCCACGAGTTGTCCGACAAATGAAACATTAGATAAATGTCCAATCCGCAGTCATGTTGCCTGTGCTTCAGGATATCTGCTATCGCCACCACTGGTCCGATGACGTCACTTAGAGCCATGGCTTTTAAGGAAGAGCTATCTGTTCCAGACGAGATGACAGAATATTTTTGTGTGAAATGTTCATGAATTTGATACAAGTAGTTTATGGAGTAGAAGAAATTCTCTTCACTTATTTGACAAACTGTATAGCACCACAAAGTACCTCCAACATAGCACCACAAAGTACCTCCAACATAGCACCACAAAGTACCTCCAACATAGCACCACAAAGTACCTCCAACATAGCACCACAAAGTACCTCCAACATAGCACCACAAAGTACCTCCAACATAGCACCACAAAGTACCTCCAACATAGCACCACAAAGTACCTCCAACATAGCACCACAAAGTACCTCCAACAGTCTTTGTATTTACATTGAGTTTAATCCTCCCGTGGAAGGAGCCCCATCGGGGCTTCTAAAAATGATAAGTTGCAAAACATCACAACACTTGTAAAAAAAAATAATTATTATAGGTCAGGATGTATTCTTACTAAATTTAACATCAAACTTACCGTAACATGAAAAGCTTAGTAAATTTTTTAATGTATGAAAGACAAAGTGGTCCCCTAAAACTTCCTGAAGGATACGGCGCTAGAAAATGATCACCTGCTGACGGTTCTGAACACAGAGCACCATTTCTTAAATCTACCAGCAGTCGTGAAGTGTTCTATCCACAGTAAGACGTGGTCACGCGTAGAAACTGGACCGTGAAGGACACACACAATGGCGTGCTTTAAAAAAAAAACACGCAACTCTCAAACGCACTCTCTCCAAAACTATATTTAGCACTTCTCATTCGTGGTACACACACAAGGCGTGTTGACCGATTACTTCCAAAAGACAATCTCGTATGTGTACTTGTAGTATGTGCTTGGTCCCGGAAGTTTTATTACGGAGCAGTTAGGGGTGTTCTTATCTTTAACGTTTGTGGTATATGCGTTTTTGTTCACTGCTCTAAGAATACCGTGTTGTAAATATTGCCATGGTCTACAATTCAGGGGTCCTCAAAGTTAAGCAACTTGAAACTCGCAATTAATTTATTGTATTAACAAGTTTGAAATTAATCTATAATTTAAAATCAGAAGTAAAATTGGAAGAAATTATTTTAAATTAGTTTAGTATTTCCCTTGTTTATTTCCTTGCGCGCGAATTTGTTTAGGCTGTTCCACAATCTTCAAAAAAGAGTTTACAAACATTATTATAATAAAGTAATTCCCGTTATACTTATGATCATTATGAAAGCGCGAATAATAATAATAATAATAATACTAGTTATATAATGTTTGAAATTGAGCACTTTACAGCTTTTGTGTGTATGTATCTATGTATGTTTGTGTGTATGTATCTGTGTATGTTTGTGTGTATGCATCTATGTATGTTTGTGTGTATGTATCTATGTATGTTTGTGTGTATGTATATGTGTATGTTTGTGTGTATGTATATATGTATGTTTGTGTGTATGCATCTATGTATGTTTGTGTGTATGTATCTATGTATGTTTGTGTGTATGTATCTATGTATGTTTGTGTGTATGTATCTATGTATGTTTGTGTGTATGTATCTATGTATGTTTGTGTGTATGTATCTATGTATGTTTGTGTGTATGTATCTGTGTATGTTTGTGTGTATGTATCTATGTATGTTTGTGTGTATGTTTTTGTGTATGTATCTGTGTATGTTTGTGTGTATGTATCTATGTATGTTTGTGTGTATGTATCTGTGTATGTTTGTGTGTATGTTTGTGTGTATGTATCTATGTATGTTTGTGTGTATGTATCTGTGTATGTTTGTGTGTATGTATATATGTATGTTTGTGTGTATGCATCTATGTATGTTTGTGTGTATGTATCTATGTATGTTTGTGTGTATGTATCTATGTATGTTTGTGTGTATGTATCTATGTATGTTTGTGTGTATGTATCTATGTATGTTTGTGTGTATGCATCTATGTATGTTTGTGTGTATGTATCTATGTATGTTTGTAGGGCTACGTGTGTTTATGGGCGTGTCTGTTGGGTGGTATGGTGTTTGATGGAATTTGCCTCCACAAATTATATCTTATTTTAAAATGGAGTGGTCAGATTTAATGCTGTAGAGATCTAGAAATGTGTTTACATGTAGGCTTTTTCATGTTAATTATTGCACAGACAATACTTTTCCAAACTACACTGAGTTCAAGTGTGCTGTGTCCTATCTTGAGAGTGTTCAAATTAGTTTTTAACGAAGCAAATTGTGTGTATTACATGAGTCATCTAAATCAAGTAAGAGTCCGTATGAATGGCTCAAGGTTAGGAGTATGTATGAATGGCTCAAGGTTAGGGGTATGTGTGAATGGCTCAACGTTAGGGGTATGTACAAAGGGCTCAACGTTAGGAGTATGTATGAAAGGCTCAATGTTAGGAGTATGTATAAAGGGCTCCATGTTAGGAGTATGTATGAAGGGCTCAACGTTAGGAGAATGTATGATTGCTCAACGTTAGGGTTATGTATAAATGGCTCAACGTTAGGGGTATGTATGAAGGGCTCAATGTTAGGAGTATGTATGAAGGGCTCAAGGTTAGGAGTATGTATAACGGGCTCAATGTTAGGAGTATGTATGAAGGGCTCAATGTTAGGAGTGTGTATAAAGGGCTCAATGTTAGGAGTATGTATAAAGGGCTCAATGTTAGGAGTATGTAGGAAGGGCTCAATGTTAGGAATATGTATGAATGGCTCAACGTTAGGGGTATGTATGAACGGCTCAATGTTAGGAGTATGTATGAATGGCTCAACGTTAGAACCAGTGCCTAACGAGTGTGTTAGCTATTTTGTATGATATAGGGTTACAATGCTACACACCAAACCGTTTAAGGAAGTAAAATATTAGAATTGCATATTTGGCATAAGTTATTATTCTCAAAAAGATTTCCTTTTTTTGTGTGTGATTTTTGTGGTTGAGATCATAAGTCATGACTGCAAGTTTTACAAGTGTTTATCTCTCTCTTGTTTCCAGATAAATATAATTTTGGGTGAGTTTGAAAATGTGTTATTACTGTGATTATTATTATTTTTGTAAGCAATCAGACTAAACGTTACCATGTAAGGAGCGATGTATTTGTGTCATTCTAAACACTTATAGTCTCGTACGTGGTATGTCAATAATGACAATTACTCAATCAACATTCAGCAAACTTCTGCCAGAGCTGATTCTTCGACTTGATGTGCCATTGGGGTTTACCAGATACGTGGAGAGAGCTGATTCTTCGACTTGATGTGCCATTGGGGTTTACCAGATACGTGGAGAGAGCTGATTCTTCGACTTGATGTGCCATTGGGGTTTACCAGATACGTGGAGAGAGCTGATTCTTCGACTTGATGTGCCATTGGGGTTTACCAGATACGTGGAGAGAGCTGATTCTTCGACTTGATGTGCCATTGGGGTTTACCAGATACGTGGAGAGAGGCACACAGGCAACTAGCTTATGCAGTGTGTATGAGTGCAGTTGTTATTAGTTGTGTGTGTGCTCTCATACACACTGCTCTCATACACACTGCTCTCATACACACTGCTCTCATACACTCTGCTCTCATACACTCTGATCTCATACTCTCTGATCTCATACACACTGCACTCCTACACACTGCTCTCATATACACTACACTCATACACACTGCATTCATACACATTACTCTCATACACACTGCTCTCATACACACTGCACTCATACACACCATGGTCACGTTGTGAATGACGGTTGGCAACAAAAAAACCCAAACATTTGCAAATAACGCATTAATTACAAAATTCTGTCCCTGGCGTACAGCTGCATAGAAGGCTCTGCACCGGAATATCTTAAAGATCTGATTTATAAACATGTATCCTTAAAGAACCTGCGGTCTTCAACACAGTCCTTACTGAAAGTTCGCAGTGTTAATTAACACAGAACAAAGTCTTACGGAGTACACTCATTTGAAGCGATAGCGCCAAAATTTTGGAACAGTTTTTCTCAATCTTTGAGGGAAATTGAAAATGATAAAAATCATTTAAGAAACATTAAAAAACGTTTTTGTTTAAACAGATTTCAGAGGACAGTGAGCAGTGAGCAGTGAGCAGTGAGCATGCGAGGACCAGAGCGCAGTGAGCCTGCTAAGGTAGCATGGATACCAGCGCTATATCAATATCCAATCAATCAAGCAATGCACTCATACCGGTCAGCTATTATTAGTCTTATGCATTTGCTACCTACTCTTCCCAAGCCTTTGCACCATCTGCTATCTACCATTCTCCCCTCCCGTCCGACTAAATGCCATTGTGTCACTTCCACCACCCACTACTAGAAAACTTAAAAGTGGCATAATTTAAAAAAAAAGGCGTCTCTCAGATCCATGGACATCGCCCTAAACACATTATTGAAACACTTGCTTTCGGTCACTCAAGCTGGCGATGCATAATCAGTATCTTAGGACACACTTTAGCAAAGTTAACCAGAATAGCTCCTTATACCACTAGAATCCCGATACAGTAGATGGCCACTTCATAGAAACCTATTTCATAGACATTGACTTTATAGACGTCACCTCATCGACAAATAATTTCGTCGATGGACATTTCATCGACATTGCCTGTCGCTGTTGTCATGTCGCTGTTGTCATGTCGCTGTTGTCATGTCGCTGTTGTCATGTCGCTGTTGTCATGTCGCCGTTGTCATGTCACTGTTGTCATGTCACTGTTGTCATGTCGCTGTTGTCATGTCGCTGTTGTCATGTCTCTGTTGTCATGTCGCTGTTGTCATGTCCATGTTCTGTCTGTCGATGAATTGTTTTGTCGAAGTAATTGTCTATGGAGTATATTGGTCGTTGTAATGTCTATTGATGTACTGCCATGACCTCCACAAGCATGATTTACCTGGCCACATCATCTCAGAGACAGCATCTAAGACCGCTTCTGGCTTTGTTAGAAATATTTAAATTTAAAAAAAAATCATATACTGTGTCTATCTTAATGTTGTTGTTGTTGTTTCCCTCAACAGATACGTTTTGTTGACAGGCGTCAACTTCTCAGGAAGTGAACTTGGTTTTTGATGCCAGCGTTCAAGTTCAAGGTCACTGACATAGGGTGGTGGTTGTTTACAAATAACTTGGGATAGTTCACATAAAGGCTGATAGTTGACATAAAGGCTGATAGTTGACATAAAGGCTGATTAGTTCACATAAAGGCTGATAGTTGACATAAAGGCTGATTAGTTCACATAAAGGCTGAATCTGCCTCTGTTCGATGGCGTCCAACACAAACGAAGAATTAAAGACAATTCTAAACTGTTTACTAAGTCTATTCACAGAGAGACAACGGCAGATCACCACCCCGTTTGAAGAAAAGAATTACATTCACAGGATACACGACTTTCGGAAAATGTTCGACCATTTTTATGAGCTGAAAACACCTCGACCTGCTTTATCGAGTCATTACCACTGCGTCGGTAGGTTGAAGTTTTATGGCGACAAGGTCTTGTTTCTTTACATGGAAGTGTCTGAGAAGTCTTGCCAGACTTCACTTTGGCCAGTTAGAGTGACGTGGAAAGTAGAGCTCATCGATGAAGTTGATGACGAGAATAAAGAGAGGATGTTCTTAATTGGAGAAACGTTCCATGACTTCAGCAAACCTCGACAGGGATTCTCGTCTCATGCCAACGATTGGCTCTGCATTGACCTTGAAAGAATAGAGAAGTCTGGTTCTATTGCTAAGGACGGGTCTGTGACGATGAGGTGGACTGTCCAGGTACAGCCTCTCATCCAAATAAAAGTCGCTGAGGATTTCGAGAATCT